CACTGCTACTCATCATGATACTGAAAGTTTTAGTCAGGATCAATAAGAATGAAAGAAAATATAAATAAAATAGGAATCCAGACTAGAAAGGAAGAAGTAAAACTATATTCATCTATCTCTATTCATCATAACCAGACTTATGCAATAAAACTAAAAACAGTGTGGAAATGAAAGATTTTCCAAACAAAGAGAAATATTTCTCACATTAATGGATTGCAAAATTTAAAGTTAACATAGCAAGACCACACACAAACTGGTTTACATGTTCACTGTAATTCGTATCAAAATTCTAATTGCACTGTAGAAATGCATAACTGATCTAAAATTCATATATAGATGATGGGTCCCCTAATAACCAAAACAATATTAAAAAGGAAAAATAAAGTTGGAGAATTCAACATTTCCTGACTTCAGCCTTTATTTAAAAGGCACAGAGGGTCAGGTTCTGCTGCCTGCCTTGCAAGCACAAGGGCCCGAGTTTGATCCCGGGTACCAATAAATAAATAAATAAAATAAAAAGTACAGACATAAAAACAATATGGCATAAGAGTCATATAGATAAATGAAGGAGAATTACATAGAGATAAATTCATATATCTATAATCAGTAATTTTAGACAAAGATAATAAAACCCTTCTGTGAGGAAAACAAATGCTAACATTTGTTTTCAGGTACCCGTGAAGTTAAAAAGTGTCTCTTTGAGGGTGATGCAGGGACCCATGCTTATCCACCTGCAAAAGAATGACATTAGGTTCCTACCTCACACCACAAACTACACAAAGTGGATCAATGACCTAAATACAGGAGCTAAAAGTCTAATACTCTTAGAAGGAGCCATAAGTGTAAATATTTGTGAAACTGGACTAGGCAATCAGTTTTTAAAAACAGTAACAAAACACAAGGAACAGAAGAAGTAAAAGCCAGCTCCTCTTTCTTTTTCATGCTTTCTTTCTCCTTATAGTATTTATCACATTCAAAAATGCTGCAAAATACATAATATAAAACGTAAGGGTTGCTTTTATCTGTCCCTTCCTGTGGAATATAAACTCTCTAAGGACAGAGATTTTTATTTCTTTTGATCTCTGCTGATCTTTACATTTATAATATCCCTGAAACAAAAGAATTTACTAATGAATATTTTTGAATAAATTCCTGAAAGAGCCCAGAATATTAAGTGAGCTTCAGAAGTAAAACAAATCAAAGGAGGCAGAGAAAGACTTCATACTACTATATAATTTGCATTTGCATAAAACTCATTTCTCACCTCTTTAAAATTGTTGCTTCCTTTCATTCAAATTTGATCTCATTCAGTGACTTAAAAATGGCAAATTTCCTTTAAAAAAGAAATTATGTTACATGACTTCTAAAGTCCCTTCCAGCTCCCTTGAAATAATATGTTGCTCTGAAAAACAGAATATTTTTGAAAACTTCAACTGTAATATCCACAGTTGCTAAAAAAATGATTGATAATTTCAGAATAGCAAGTAATTTTTTATTGGCCCTTCCATTTTCAAAGGCCAACAGCTAAACTTGATAGAATAAATGTGGAAAATTATTTTCTGTACTTGGAAAGTTATCAAGAATTATATCTAGGTATTATTGCCAAGCATTATTTTTTTTTTTACCTTCTTCAAGTACAGAAAGCATGATACAGTCCAGAAAAAAAGTTGCTGAGATTTTTAAGGAAAGCACAACAAAACTTTATGCAGCTGCAAAAGAGATTAAGATAAATCTAGAAATTCCAGTTAAAAAGACTGTGGGAAAATTTGAACTCCCATGTATCAAGTAACTCTGTAAAACCTACAAAATGTGACTTGAGGTTGAGAAACAGATGAAAAAGTTTTTTCTTTAAAATCATAGATAAGAATCTAAGAAAAAAATCCAAAGCCTTATTTAGTATCATGGTTCTTTAAATATTTTTTCTAAACCTAAATGAATTGTTATACATATAGCAAGTCTTGTTCATTTTATTGTCTTACAAAAAAAACACCCTTTACTGAAGAATTACGCCAATATTTTTCCAGTTAATTTATCCCATGAAGAAGCTACTTTTTGAGAGTAGGAACCAAGGGAAATTCACAAGCAGTTCTGTCATGATAGTTGAAGATAGTCACACACATAATGGCCAATAAATAATGGTGCATCCACTGAAAACAGTTTAATTGTCCCTGAAAAGGTTAATCACAGAGTTAGCATTATGACTCAGAAATTGTCCTCCTCAATCTCCTATCAAAGAGAAAAAAGTGCTCACAAAAAATTTGCCTGTTAATATTCATAGGAGCATTTTAACATTAAACAAAAAGTACCAACAAAATGTTCATTAATAGATGAAAACAAAAATAAAATGTGGTATATCCCTATAGTAAAATATTATTCTACCTCATAAAAATAAAGTAATGATAAAAGCTACATCACAATTGACTTTGCAAATACGCTAAATTAAAGAAATCGGCCATAAAGTACCAGGGACTGTTGTGATTCTATTTACAATTTCAGCATAGTCAGATGTATACAGACAGAAATTTACCAAAGTAATGGGAGAGTAACTGACAATGGGTACAGTATTTCTTTGGGAGGGTTCTAAAAGTGATTTTGGTGATTATTTAAGAACTCTGAATGTTTCAAAAAACAATGAAAGTATACTTTAAGTGGATAATTACAATGGTCTGTGGATTATATTCCAGTAATGTTGCTATTAAAAAAAAAAAAACAATAAGCTGTGAAAATTCCTTCTAAATTTTAGCTATAATGCTTCATGTTTATCATCAGAGAGCACAATAAAAAGCTGACTTCTGAGCCAGGCATGCTTGTACATACCTGTAATCCCAGCATTTGGAAGGCTGAGGCAGGAGGATCACCTGTGAGTTTAAGGCTAGCCTGGGCTACACAGTGAGTTCAAGGGTAGCCTGAACTACATAGTGAAATCCTGTCTCAAAAAACCAAAAAAAAACAAAAAAAGAAAAGCTGACTTCTGTCACCTGGGAGGACAAGAAAAGAGCACAGTTTGTATTAATGATTTATTTTATTTTATTTTGTTTTGTATTAAATCTTATACTGGCTCACTGGTAGGAGGAGGTAGCGCCCCTGAGCCGCTGTACTACTTACTCCTCTAGGTCAATGTCAGGAGGGTAAACCTTAAAAAGTAAGGGACAAGAATGGTGTGGCAGTCATAATATATCCAAGCCAGTAAAATCTCTTAATAGCCGGGCATTTAGCTCAGTGGCACCTCACCTGCTTCGTAAGTGCAAGGTCCTGAGTTCAATCCCTGGTACAAAAAACAAAAACAAAACAAAACAAAAAGATTCTCTTAAAAGGCAACTGTAATCACTCCTCTGCTAAAACACTGCTGAACTAAATCTACACTTCTCTGTGCAGTCCATCCGGATGGCCTTGGACTTGCTTTAGCCTCAATTCCAGCTCCTCACCCACACGCTACTTTGACACTATCTATCAAACTATCTGCTGGAGTTTGGATTTGAAACGTCTCCTGCAGGCCCATGTGCTAAAAAGAAAGGACTGGTCCCCAGCCTGTGGTGCTACCGAGAGATAGTAAAAATGTTCAGAGGTGAAGCCGAGTTGGAGAATGTTAGGTCACTTGAGCATCCCCTTGAAGGGGTTGCTGGGACCAGGGTCTGTTCCTTTCTCTCTTCCACTTCCTGGTTCTCATGAGTGAAACAGCTCCCTCCTGTATTCATTTCTTCCATGATGTACTGCGCGCCACAGGCCGGCTGGCAAGGGGGCCCTATGACCACAGACTAACACCTCTGAAACCACGAGTCAGAATAAACCTTTCCCTCCTCAAAACTGATTATGTGCAGGTATTTGTTACAGAAACCAAAACCTGACTAGCACACCATTCTCGTTCTTCCAAAAGCTAGGCATCTTCCTGCTTTTCTCTGCACCCTTAGGCTTACCATGGGTGTCATAAAAGAAGGTCAGCAATTCCTTCTCCATATATGCTCATAACCCTTTGTCAGTGCTCCGATTTGGTACCAGTCATGTTACTATTGTTATTTAAATTAATAATCTCTCTCCCACATGTGAGTGTCAAAAGGAAGACATCTGGCAAATGGTAAATTCTGAAAGTACTCAATTTGGCAGTTATTTGAAGAATTGAATCCACTGCCCCTTCTTGGCATCTCTGTTTTAAAAGGAAGGAAGGGAGGACAGAATGAAATAATTCTGACTAAATGCAAGATATGGTTAAAATAATTTAAGTGGTTGTGGCAATTGTAAGTGGTGTGGAATAAGCAGACTGGCCAGTAAGGCCTATGAGCTCTTAAGTCCCCACCAAGAGACTATTCTTCCAAGCTGACTACATTTTAGTTTCGAACTAGACAGCCCATAACCATAAGCCAGTTTCCTCATCTAGCACTCCCGCTCCCCCAGTGTATCGTCAGCTCCTGTGCTGCTGGATCAAACATAGTCCAAGTTGGGTGGTTAAGACAGATGGAATGTCTGCTCCAAATCACCGCCTTTTTAAGATATGTCCAAGAGTAGCTAAAACAATACTCCATTTTAAACTTCTGTGAACACTTTAGAACCAAGCTCTGATGTGAGCCGGATTCCATCCTCTTGGAAGGGTAAAACTGTGTTCCAGCCTCACACTGACCACTTATAACTTCCCATGTTGTTGCTTCATGATCTAGGGTGTGATAAGCATCGTCTCACCTCACTAATCACCACCGGCTGCTGCTAAATCATTTGTCAGACTTTCGGAATTCGCACTTGATTTACTCTGAAGGTTAAACTTGCTCTTTTGTGCCTATGTTTCTCATGATGCTTTTACACAAGGATTCCCCGGACACTCAGGCCAGAACTGCGTTTCATGTTCAGATGTTTTTCCATTTAACAAGACTTCAGTCCAAGTATCATTTAGTATCATATGTCTTCATTTGCATGACAGACTAATGTAAATTTGCCAAAAATATTATTTGGTTTCTATATCGGCAGGAAATTTAGATGTCCATGTCTAATGTTTTGTGTGTTTTTTTCTATAGGTAAAAAAATCATGGGAGGAAGTGTAGACTGCAATAAAGAAAATGGTGGATACCAGGTATTTATCTTTTAACTTTGCTCATGTCAAATTGTATGCATTATAAAGCTGTAATAACATTCTGTTTTAAATTGTGTATATCAATAGGGACAAAAGGAATAGCATTGATTTTGCTTTAAAATATTATATTACATATAGCCTAGAAAATAAACCTTTCTATAATCTGTGATAAAGCTATAATAAATAAGTCCTTTGGTGAACATTAAAGTATTTACCTGTGTAGTTTTTGTATCGTGTAAGAAGAAATTATATCATGTCATTTTATATCTACTACCAAATTTTTGTGGAAAAGAGACACAACAGAGTTACTTATTAGAGCAGTTATAATATTTAAAATTGGTAGTTTTCTAATGTGATTTAGTATCATGATGTAGAATTTTCTTAATAAAGAACAATGAATTAGGGCAAATGGATTTGTGATCTAGTCCCTGGAAGTCTCAAAATCATCTTTCTCTGTCATGATAAAAATACTAAATTGATTGATTTAATAGTAGTTAGGATGGGGTGCAATACTGCATAATGCACTAAATGCTTTTGTACCCATTTATTCTCAAAAATTATTTAAAATCAAAGATAGAACTACTTTTGTTTAAAAGGTGCAAAATGATGTCTAAAGAGAAGAGTTAACTCAACCAAAGACACCAGTGCTACAGTGTAGCTCAAGCCCACCGTGTATGTGTGCTGCACACCATGTGTGACATTTTAGGGAGGGATGATGCAGAAGAGATACAAAATGAGAGGGTGGTTGCCTTTCGTTTTTAAAATAGTTTTGAAGTTTGACGTTTTCTTACTGGGCTTCACATTTAAAATAAGCAATTTTCAGAGAATATTTAAAACTCTTTGAAATTAAGTTTTAATTTCAAAGCAGACTGTTTTAAGAGTGCAATTTTAGTAAAGATGTTAGAAATTCAAATGACTGATGTTGGGCCAAATGTTAAATAGTAACTTAATTGCCTTCAAATTTGCACAGCTACTAATTAGGCCTCTAGCCAGTTGAAATCACACACTATCAACTGGTAGCTGTACATTTCAGATGCTTGTGGAAAGGGGGCAGATGTTCTTTTGAGGGTTTTCTCACTGGATAACTGCAAATTTCCAGTAAAGCCATTTGCTGGTGCAAACTGAGACAAAGAGAGAACTGCAGCCATATTAATATTATTTTTAACCACTGAGCACTTAAGTGTCTGGCTCAGAGCCTTACAAGCCTTCCTAGTCCTTAGAGTAATAGCTAAGAGTAGGTACGTAGAAGTACCTAATAAAATACCAGGCAATGTATTAGTTACCTAGTAAAATTTCATACATGACTAAATTTGAGGAGTCGTTTATTGCATTTTTGTGGCTGAAACTTGACAGTATGCTACATAATCATCATGTCCAATAGCACAGAATACACAGTCTAAATCCCTTAGACTAGAAACTTCAAATGTCCCTATTACAGTCTGGTGGTTGGAGGTATTTAAATGTAAATATAGCTTTCTAATTTTAATTTAATCCCCTATTTTTTCCACAGAGATCTGGCACAAAGAATTCTTTGTTTCTTAGGATTTCTTAGGCTATCTTTTTAAAGTCAGGGTTAAAATCTGCTATTAAGTAACACAAAACAATATATATATATATATATATTTTTTTTTTAATCAGAAGAGATAAGTAGATATAGACATATGTAGGTAAACATTTATATATTATTTCAGGAGTAAAAAAGATATTAAAACATGTTCAGCATAATTCAAGGAGTAAAAGCAATTATGTACCAGTGAATAAAAGCAATGTAGGTAAAAGACAAAATAAATTAATAAAACTATTTTAAAGGTATAAATTTTGCATTATACAAGCTAAAATAAAATGTGCCACACAAGCATACTGAAAAATCTAAAGAGACAACATTAAGAAAAACAGTGTTTAAATTGCTGTAATGATTTTTGTAAAAGATGAGAGCTTTTCAAATTAAAAATGATGTTTTGCATATAATTTTATTAGATGAGCTCATAAAAATAATAAATATACCAAAACCTTAAAAATAAGAGGGAAAAATAAAAGTAGACTGTAAACTATTCAATACAATGAAAATATTAAATGTAATATAATCTCATTTTTATAAAAATAAATGTATCCCATATTTTTAAAGGGAGACTAGAATGAAATCCATGGATCTGATGTGGTGTGTAGTCTGTTCCAAAAACCATCTATAATTTCTTTCTCCCACAGAAAAACTCCTAATTACTTAAAACAATGAGGGGACCCAGAACATGAATGGCAAGTGGGAAGTCGCCCCACACCCCAGAAGGCACAGAATTGCACAGAGCTCACTGTGAGTTGACCCCCAGGGAGTCCAGGTGGTCCCGAGACAACCAGTGCTGGGTGCTTGGGGGCAGTGGGCCTTTGCCTTGGGCCTTGAACACCAGTCCTCTGTGAGGGCTGCCCAGCTTCCTCCACCCTTTGTCACCGCTGCCTGCAATGAGAAGAAAGCCACTTCCAGATGGTGGCACAACAGCCCAGAATTCTGGGAATCAGGAGCCTCCCATTCATATTTGAGGATGCTAATTTTTAAGTGATGGAGTTTCCTAGATGAAATCCAAAACTATACATAAGGTTAAAGTGTTTTTCATCTAGAGTTATCATTTTTCTTCACAGACTGTGACTATCATATAGTGCTCTCTTAGGAAGGCCACTTGGCCTCGCTTCCTTCCTCTGCAACACAAATAAGCAGATATCCCACATTTCTTATTTATTAGTGGCCGCCACACACATGTGAGTGAGACAAAAGACACAAGGCAATTAACCGAAGTTAGTTCAGCTAAGGTAAATGTTATATGCAATTCTTGGCTTAACCAAAGGAAGCAAAGATTACAATAAGCCTTAAACTCATTTGAATCTTTCCCCAAAGCAAACATTTCACTGATTAGAATATTCTCAGAGTATTTGATAAAGCAATGCTTCAATTATATAAAGCAGATATTTGAGAAAGTAACTGCAGAAATTTCATAATATCTTATAATTGTTGACTAGAAATTTAACGCAGAATAACACATACACCCATACTTTTTTGTGAAATGTAGTTTAACATTTCCCAAAAGGAAAGCAAAAGAATCCTTCTTTTCAATGGTTATCTAGAACAGGTTAAATAACTTGAAACAAATAAATGTACTATTAATATTTATACTTTTATATCCAAAACAAAAATATATTCTAGTCTGTCTTCCTCCCTCTCACACGTGCGCGCGCACACACACACACACACACACACACACACACACAAATGCATAGGACCTCAACCACTTGAATAGTCATTGTTTTTTTCCTCTGGAATATTATATTAGCTCAGAGACAACACAGTCAACACTTCTCCAAACAGAGTAAGCTCCAGAATTGCAGTTTTTAAACCACAGCTGTTAGAAGTTGCAATCCGAAGTTAATATGTTTATGCAATGTTTTTTAACTCATAGTCACCAAATCTCCCTTTCTGTGAAAAACAGACTTACATACTCAATTATTTACTGATGCCAAAAAAGAAAACATACGCACACACATTCTCACAATTCATGAATACCACTCTGACAATTTTTGGTTAGGAGAAAATCACAAACATGTAGCACATTAAAATGTTTGTAGAACTATAACCCGTGTGAAAAGGAGATAGGGTTCTTGCTTACCACACATTACACGGTCTACTCTGACGTCTCAGTGGGGATTTCAGGCAGAAGGATCCAAGCAAGTTTATGAGGCCATCATGTGACCCCACTTCCAGCCAAAAACTGTGCTACAAAATAAGAAGCTATAAATTTCTTTCTCATTAAATAGTTAGTCATCTTCACAGAAGGATTTAATAGCCAAGTATTCTACATCTCATGCTTAACAGTTTACCAAAGGTATCTCTCTGTATATGACACATTTTCTGGTAAATGTTTCTTTGCATATCAAGTTTTCACTATATCCTTGACCACCTGGAAAATCTAAATTTTATTACCATGTAGGAAACTAGACATACCTAGTCTTCCAGATTTCATGTGCTTTTAGAGTACATTTTTATGTTTCTTGTTATATGTCTAAGAGAGAACATTAATCTTTAAGGATTGTTCTCTTCAAGGAACATTTTTGGTCTAAAAAGGTATAAAATAATCTCAGTTAATTGGAACACTTTCTCTTTTCCTTGTGGGGAGAATAATGTATTAAAATTTTAGGTGCACTGCTTAGATCTAATGGCCCTCTTATTTCCAAGCCATATTTTTGCAATTCTCCCCTGCCCTACAGTCTTTTCCCCATCTCCAATAGGGCATGACCCCTCCTCACCCAGCAAGACAAAACATTGCAGAGTCCAACAAAAGTCCCAAAAGAATGAATGAATCACAGTCCAAACTTTCAATTATCACAAGGTATAAGCCCAAATTTTGAAATAATACTCCAGAAATTCATTAGAATTGTTAATTTTTCTTGGCACTCCTGCCTGACATCTGTGTGAGTCTCAGTGTGTCTTATTTTGTTGCCTGACATTGGTTCTGTCTGTACTGTAAAACAAAACAAAACAAAACAAAAAAAACCTGTGTGAATTTCACGATATTTCTGTAATTTCTTTATCATTTATTTTATGTCTGTGATTAACTGCACAGTAGAACTAAGCCAGGTGCTAGGTTTTAGAATTTGGCATATAACCAGGTGCAGTGCCTGCAGGATGATCTGCTTTCTCAGGCTACATAACACTCATTCTCCATCACGTTTCAAAATACTGAGACTACTATGAACACCGAGAAAGATGCTCTTCTGTGTAAGTTGGTGCCAGGCATCTACACTAGCACTCGCAAGAATATTAATGAATTTCCATCTTTCTGTCTTAAAGCAAAGTTCAGAGTCCTATTGCTTGTCACGAAGATGACTGCAATAGCTCTGTAACCCCTGTTTTTGCATCCTTCTTTCACACCCCAATCCACTGTAATAAGAAATGCAATGCATTATCATTTTTTTTTTTTTTTTTTTTTTTTTTTTTTTACTGGGGATTGAACTCAGGTCCTTGTACTTGCCAGGCAGGTGGCAGCACCACTGAGCTAAATCCCCAGCCCTGCGTTATCATCTTTATCTTATAATATGTTCATTTGTTTAATATATTGGGAAACAAAATCCAATGAGTCTGGTCCACACTTAATGTTCTATCCTCATGTTTCACACTGCCCGCTTTTTTATATATCCCACTTTGCTCTAGTCATGTCAATTCTCATTTCTTTGAAAATCTTTAGTACCTCAAGTTCAACCATTATGTCACCTTTGCATTTAATATTGTTCATTATCATTTTGTTAGCATTTATTTATCTTTAAGTTAAAACAATAATTTTTTTCTACGATGCATTTAAGGGCCAGCTAAAATAATTATTGTACCAATATTTAATAAATGAGAACACACTGCCTCAGAGAAGATGGACCATCTTGCTTCAAGATATTGAGCTGGAGAGAAGCAGGCTTTAGACCTGAACCTCACTCTCCTAAATCCCTGGTCTATGTTCCCTCTAATGCACCATGCTATTTTCCAATGGTCAGGCTTTCTTAACAACACCCTTGAATAAGGTTCTTGTCCAGTAGCTAAATAGGAACAGGATAGGGAGCTTATTTCACTACTACTCCCCGTCACTGTGGGTATGCAGTAACAGCTGAAAGCTCAATTGAAACTGAAGTCAGAGAAATATTATGACAAAAGTTGAACACAATATACTTATTTTCCTATTGCTTGAAGTTATATTCCTATTAAATGAACTTTTTTCAAACCATGAAAGCTATGCCTATTTTGTTATAGTTGTTACTGTTAAGGACATAGAAATATAGATATTAAATATTTTGTTGCCAAAACAGTATTCTGATTCTACGTGGCAACAGACTACAGCACGAAGTGAGATGGTTTCTCCACTGCAGATGTATACAAGGTTAGTAGGGTTTTTTTTGGGGGGGGAGGGGGGATCATTTACTAAAGATAACTTATGGTACAACCTTGTCAGTGTTAAGCATATCCCATTTAAGTTAACCTGGCAATAAGAGAAAGGGTGAAAGTAGCAAACATACTAATTTCAATTTACCTCCAATCCTGAAGATTTGTTGCTGTCTTACGTACTAGGTGTCACAGGCATTTCTTGTGAGATTTCTCTGATTACTCATATCATTCTGATTCTATGCCAGAAAATTCAGTTCCTCTCAGTGATCATTTGAAGTTCATTTGGGTGCCACATTTTGCAGGACCCAGGAATTCACCTCTAAGATGATTCACTGGAGTTAATAGCAAATTCTGTTACTCCTGAGCAGTGTGGATTTTAATAAGGTAACATTTCTAAACTGTAGTTTCTTCATCTATACAATGAGGGCATTAACCACAATAAAAACTACATTTCCAACTAGGGAAGCTAACAGTTAAACAACCCATTGTTTTATGGTCAAGAATGGAGAAAACAAGACTGATGGATTCTCCATGGGAATGGAAAATAGCACAGTATGTTTACATACTGTTTATTGCAAACTACATGTAGTAGTGGTAACTATTTTGAGACATTTTCCAAGAAAAATGAAAATGGGGCCGGGGATTTAGCTCAGCGGTTCAGTGGCCTGTCTTGCAAGCGCAAGGACCGGAGTTCGATCCCCGGTACCAAAAAAAGAAAGAAAAGAAAGAAAAAACGAAAATGTACCCATAAAAAGAAGAAAAGAAAAATGTTCAGAGTGGCTTTCTACATAAGAGCACAAGAAAGTAAAATATCTGTCACCAAATAATGTGTAAACTGTGTTAGATTCGTGAGATCAAATACTATTCGACAGTAAAAAGAAACAGACACAAAAGCATAAATGAACCTTCAAAACCTCATATGGACCAAGAGACATCGGTCATAAAAGAATACAAAAAGTATGATTCCATCATCTACATCCTAGAAAAGCCAAAACAAAGCGACTGCCTGAGAGCCGCTCTGTGGCTGCCTCTCGTTGAGGAGAAAATTGGACTGCAGTCAAAGTGAACCTTGCAGGGCTCTCAATAGGACCTAGGCCTTGATGAAATCACTGGTCAAAAGATGTGTTTAACCTCACTGAACCGTCCATTTAAAATCTGTGAGCTTTGTATGTAAATAATGACTCCATAAAACAGTAAAATCAATTGAAATTTGTTCATTCATACAGATTCCTTTGCTGTAAATGGAACATGACAGGAGATAGATAGATAGATAGATAGATAGATAGATAGATAGATAGATAGAGATATAGATAGAGATATATATATTTTTTTCACATGAGTTTCCAAAACATTCATGGCAGTGCTGGAGTTTCTGAAGGCAAATGCCACTCTGACTTCTACCACAACCTGTCCTATAAGATAAATTCACCTCTAGAAACCCACATGCTTTGTAGCAGTTTATCATGCTGTTTTTTTCTTTATGGGCAAATTTAGAGCAATTTATACATTCCCTTAAAGTTTTCCTTTCCAAAATAAGTTTAAGCAATGTAGGTAATATAAAAAATGGCATTTTAAAATTATAATAATATACACTGAACATACATCAGACAAAAGAACAGATATGGCCTTCCATACTAGGAAGAGTCTTAGTTTGTTTTTGTTATAAGGAGCTCCAGGGATGCTGAAGTTCCTTTCTTTTTAATGACTACGCAGACTTAGGGGAGTTCTCTTACTTTGGAGATCTTTTAAATATTATTTTCCTTATTTTTTTGTGTGTAACAAATAATTGGATCTACTCATGGCCCCTAAAGATCAAGAAATAATTATTAAAATGGGATTTAAGGCGTTCAAACAGCCATACCAAGAAGACTTAAAGAGAAAAAAAAAAGTCAATAATTATATTTTGCTCTACAAGTTTAATACTTGAGATTCAAAGCAATCTCTCCTTACTTTCAAAGTATTGTGCAAAGTAGGTGCATTAAGAAAGACTTGGTGAGTAAGAGGAGTAAGAATGTAGCTATGGGATGAAATGGAAGTCGTACCACCTAAGTATAACTGCTTTTCACACGCTTTGCTTGGTATATGTCATATTAAACACTAACTGCACTTTTATTTTACTTTGAAAGCACAACTTCACCACATAATTATGGTAAAGCAACACATCTTATTATTTCTATTATAACACATCTGTATTATTTCTATTTTTAGTAGTTGCTGCTTTTTGCTTTGCCTGGGGTAATGCTTCACAAACCAGTTGTTCAACAAACATGCTGAACTAATTAAGCCACTTTATGAATGCCTTTCATATTAAAAATGAACTGGATTCTGAGCAGTTATCTAAAGAGCATTAGGAGAGCAGGTACATTCCCAGTTTTAAATTCATTACTGCAATTCACTACTGCTATTCACTACTGTTGTTCTAAAATATGATAGGTGGTTGAATTGTGCCAGCTTTGTCCCTAAATTTCTATAAAACTGTCAGAGTACTGAATGAGAAAACAAAATACAAATTATAATGAACCTTTCTAAAACATTAAAATATTTTTTCATAGAGTTACAGTCATACCTTGGTATTGCACTGTTTTGAAATTTGTAGGGTTTGGCATTGGATGCATTTTTTACAAAAATATTTTATCCCCATACTTGTTTTTTGTTTAGTACCCCATGAATAAGCTGGAACTTGTCAGTGTTGATTGCCTTGTGACTTGCTAAATTTGTCAACCAATACAATTTTTTATTTGATGCTCAGCAGTTGTGGTACTCCTCAAGTCTTCTAGAAGCAGTTAAGGAGTACTGAGGTACTGCTGTAGTATCAAAGGCATCATTCAAAAGAAATTGATGGCTTGAAAATAAACATAAAGAAAAGGCTAACTTAGGGACAATATTGCTTAATGTGGTTCCTATCTTTAATCTTCCAGGGAAAGTAAAAAATGGGTGATTTTCCTAGCATTTAGTTGGGGCATGTTCCTTATTCTCATATTACAGATTCTCATTAAACCAGATTCACAGATCAAAAGTTGTTCCTTCCTCTAAGGTTGACTATGAACATGAAAAAGATATGGGGCAGAAACAGAAATCCTGTTTGTCATACAAGTGTTTTGCATCATCAGTCCCAACACTGAGCCACCACTGGGCATACGTGTATCTTTATACAATGGAATATAGTTTCAGAAGCTTTGCATTACATTTCAATGTAATGGGTGACTTGAATCTGACAGTGGACTACAGAAAGTAAGACTCCAGATTCATACTCTATATTCAATTCTCATGGAGAGTGAAAGGTAACAAATGTCCAGGCACAAAATTATTGAATTTTCAAGATAGATGGTGGGTCTCATTGTGATACATAACTGATTGTGTCACCTTGAGTAAGAAATGTTCAACTAAATTGGCACAGCATAATTTGGGGTGTAGAAGACCCGCCCCAGGGAAGAGTACCATATTACCAGAATGGTAAAAGGGAAATGAAGAATGAAGACTGACTTGTTTCTTAGGAGGAGCTACAGTCTTCACCTTCAGCTTGGACACCATCTCCTGCCTCCCAAGCTCACTCTTTTTCAGCCTCCACGACAGACCTTTCAGCCTCCTGATACGGACTCAAATGGGACACTACTCGGAGCTCTTGGCCTTCAACTGCATCCTTTGGATCTCTAGTGTGCAGACTGACCCTCTGAACTCTTCCACATCTGACTTCGTGGGGGGTTACTGTAACCCAGTATTGAAAATGCTTATATATTTGTTTATTTTGAATTAAACCTGTTTCTCTAGTAAGCACTAACTGATACACTCATGTTCTAATTTTCTCAATTTAAATATGAAAAATAGGCATTCAAAAAAGTAGAATTGGCTTGCACAAGGTAACTCACATCATAGCAAAGCTTCACCCTTGAAATATAGCAAAGGAACTCTCTCTCTACCTCGGGTTTTGTTTTTACCATTGCTTGGTAGGATCTATCCATACAAGGGCACGCTTTCTATGTGCAAAGCTCAAAGCCATGGTCTGCTAATACTGCAGTGGTTTCACTAACAACTCTTGAAGCAGCTCTGATATTATTATTATTATTATTATTTTTTTTTTTTTTTTTGGCAGTGGGGATCAAACTCAGGACCTTGCACTTGTGAGGCAGCAGAGGCACCTCTTGAGCTAAATCCCCAACCCAGCCCAGCTCTGATATTCTTACTAAACAGCCCATGTGCATTCATTTCTCTTCAGGCAAAATATTCATGGCATATTTACGGTGGAAATAGTTCTCTGTTAATTAATCTTTTATATAAAATCTTCAAATGATCAAAAGCTCCCAGAGGATGGAGTACAGAACTACATGAAGTTAAAACATCAAAATATTTTTATTATAATCAGTTTGGTCCTATTCAAAATAGCCTGCAGTAAGTAGGGTAACATTTCCCTTAGGACTCTTTAGTTTTGATACTGTTGGAAAAATGATCTATTTCTGAATATATTTTCAGGGTCTCTGAATATATTTAAGCATGAAAATCACAGAAAGACAAAGGAAATCAATTACTATTTGCATGTTCCCCGCCCCATTAGAGGGAAACAACTCTTTTCCCCCATTTTATGACATATACAGGCTTAGAAAACAATGAAAATTGTAATTTTGCTAAACTAAATTACTTTTCTTAACTTAGAAATCTTGTGTTTATGCAAGGGCAGATAAGTACTATTGTCATCATGAAGTATGTTCAACAGAGTATGGCCTGATTATTTAAACTTTATTTCATATTGTACTTTTCAATATCTTCAGAAGCTTATCTTTTTCCATTTTTTTTCCTTTTCTTATTGTTTTCTTTTCCCCCTTCCTTAGTTAAAATGTTCTTATATTACAAAAAACCATGTTGCCAGAGGTTGAAAGGTGATAGAGAAAGGAACATTTAATTCTATTTTAACATGCATTGACTTAGGGTATTATGCTACCTTAGGTAAGAAAATAAATTTTGAAATATGACAAGAAACCACTCTTTTTTTCTTTTTTCTTC